CCACGGATAGGGAGATCGCTTCTGTCGACGACTTTGCCATTTGGACTAGCGGAAGAACTAACACAGCTCCCGAATTCCAACTCCAACTTTGCATGGGGAAATTGGAAAGGTGGAGTGTGCTGAATGGATTTCAGTTTTCTGTCGCCAAAACTGTATGTGTTCATCTTTGAAGAAAACGTTATCATTGCCCCAACCCATACCTTGCATTATATGGGGAAGAAATACCAGTTAGGAAGCTAAGTTCCTAGGCGTCAGATTCGATAGCAGGCTATCATACCATCCAAACGTCAAAAACCCTCGGTACCGCTGCTTCGAGGCCTTAAATACCTAAAGATTTTGACTCGGATGTCCTATGTGGCTGACCGTAAAACACTTTAACTAATTTACAGTGCACTTATCCGATCTAACAGTATTTAATGCGCTGTGGGCCAGTGCTGACTTTCCAGCCTCTTGGCGAGAAGCTATAGTTGTTCCTATTTTGAAACCGGGTAAAAGTGGACTAGATCCTGTACACTGTAGGCCTATTTCTCTGACTTCATCGCTCTCTAAGTTGATGGAAAAGATGGTTAGTGTCCGTTTAACTTGGTTTTTAGAACATCACGGCGTTTTTACAAACGCGCAGCGTGGTTTTAGAAAGAATCGCGGTACAGTTGACAATCCTTTAGTTCTTGACACAGCGATTCGTATGGGATTTAAAGCAAGCCGACACATAGGCGCAGTGTTCTTTGTCATAGAGGGCGCCTATGACACCACATGGCGTCAAGGCATCCTTCTCAAGCTACACGGGTATGGTATACGCGGCAATATGGGTTCCTTTCTTCAAAACTTTCTAGTTGACCGTTCTTTCCGTGTCCGTGTTGGAAACGCGCTCTCTGAGATGCATGTTCAAGTTAACGGTGTGCCCCAAGGCGGCGTTCTCAGCGTAGCTTTGTTCGCCGTTATGATCAACGACATCGGGATGGGGCTTCCACAGTCTGTAGGTCGTGCGCTCTTTGTTGATGATTGCGCTTTTTGTTGATGATTTTACCATTTGGACTAGCGCAGCAATAGCACCATCGACGGAACGCCAACTCCAGTTAGCTGTTGACCGCGTTGAGAAGTGGGGTACCATGAACGGGTTCAGGTTTTCACGTAGCAAGACTGTAGCCATGCATTTTTGTCGTAGCCGGCAATGCGGCGACCTGTCTATCCGTATGTATGGGCAATGCATCCCAACTGAGCCTGTGGCTAGATACCTTGGAGTATACTTTGACCGCCGACTTACATATAAGGCACATCTTAGAACGCTACGTGAACGCTGCTTTAAATCTTTGAACGTATTAAAATGTGTTTCGCGCGCGTCGTATGGCGGAGATGGGAGCACGCTTTTGCTGCTGTATCGGGCAATCATGCGCTCTAAGCTGGACTATACATGTTTTATTTATGGCATCGCGTGTGAGTCCACGAAACGGATCATTGACACCATCCATCACACTGCTTTACGTGCCATCACAGGGGCGTTCCGTACATCTCCTACCCAAAGCCTCTTGGTAGAATCGCATGAGCCGGCGTTGTCAGCGAGGAGAAAAATGCTTGGCATGCGTTATGCACTTAAGCTGCGACAGTTAACGTGTCATCCCGCATACCACGCAGTCTTTCCGCGGCCTGCTGTGCCGTTTGTTCGCCATGCATCTCGGGCGCATGCAGTGACCTTTGGCTCCCGGATACAAGCCTTACTGCGGGAAACCGAAATTCCCATTCGAAAGGTGAAGCGATCAGGTCACCTGTGCACTCCTCCCTGGCATTTGATCTCACCCTTCACAGACACATCTCTGAGACTGAAATGAAAAAAAGTGTCTCGATGCCAGATATAATGAGGTCCAGAGCGTTTGAGCGTACAGCGTTATATGAGGGTTACACACACACACACGGACGGCTGTAAAACTTCTGATGGTGTAGGCTATGCGTTTGTGAGCGGTGGCGTCACCCGGTCGTTTTCATTGCCCCCAAACGCTTCGGTGTTTACATCAGAGCTCATAACAATCATTAAGGCACTATGTTTCATTGAAGTCGGTGACGAACCCTCGCATCTCATTTTGACGGACTCTCTGAGCAGCGTTCTAAGTGGGAAGTCTTTTTATCCGTCATGTCCCCTAATACAGGACATTTTAATACGTTTGACTCAACTGGATCAGGCCGGAAAGAAAATCATGCTATGTTGGGTTCCTAGTCATGTCGGCATGGCGGACAACGAGTTGGCTGACGCGGCTGCCAGGCGAGCAGCGATGGTTCCATGTGTTCAGTCTCTTTCTATTCCTGCCAGAGACTTTTACCCTGCAATAAAAACCTTCCTGCACAACAAGTGGCAGCGTTGTTGGGATCGGATAGATAGTAATAAGCTCAGAGAGATAAAACCTAGGCTGGGTCAGTGGTTCTCTTGTTTCCGGAAAATGCGGCGAGAGGAGGTGATCCTCTGCAGATTGCGCATCGGGCACACATACGCAACCCACGGCTATATGTTGGAGGGAGCCGATAAACCGATCGGTCATCGATGTGGTGCTGTCCTCACCGTTCGCCATATTCTTATTTCTTGTCCGCGCCTCGCGGAAGAACGCCAACGCTATTTTGGACAGCATGACTTACCCCTTGCCCTCTGTGATATGCTCGGAGATAACTCACTATTTCTGGAATTTCAACAGAACTTTTCGTTTCTCAAACACATTAACTTTGGGACCATTTATGCGGCTTATTAGATAGGTAAAACAAAACTCGTTATGAGCGCCAAATGACCACCGCAGTGGGCGCGCCCCTAAACTACAATAAACAATAAATATCCGATCTAAAGTTGACCATGCCTGCCAGGTGTATGACTCGGCCCCGCAGGCGGCGAAAAACCTTTAGACAGGAGTGCACCACGACGAAATCCGAAAAGCGACGAGAGTTTTCCGTACTGGCCCTGCGCGCAGCATATTGGTGGATGCAAATGAATCCCCTTTGCGCTGACAACGGGGAACTACTGCCCGCGCGATATGTGGTAAAAATCGCGCAATTTCCATCCCATCTCACCCGAGTATTTTTTCCCACGTGTTGTTAGCCTTTTCGCTTCTTCACACGTGAAGACCGTTCTGCCCATTACCATACGTGCGAACCAGACATTTGAGCGATTGGACATCTCGGTTAATATAATGGCTCCAGGTCCAAAGCAGGGCCTTCCGCCAATGCAAGTTCGAACATCCGAGTGTGACTTCCATCTTTGTGGATCATCAAATAAATATACGATGGCAGACGAATACCGCGCGGAGTTTCTGTATCGTCAGTTATCAGTTGTCAGTTATCAGTTATCAGTTGTCAGTCATTTTGTTTAAGGCGCATCCACGTAGTGGTTGTTCTGCGCCTAGTGCACAAGGAAAGGGAACCAACAAACAGTACAGAGATGCGCACATACGCGTAGACACGCAGTTTTAGTCGATAGGTCAGCGATTTAAAACAGTCAAGAATGCGTGGCGCGAGGGGGCGCGGGCAGCCGGCTTCACACGCAGGCGGCGCGGAGCGGAACGCGTCACTGGGTGGCGCTCAGTCGTACGCGTGGCAGATGCGGTCTTCATACGGTGCGTCGGGGGTTCCGTCACAAATACCGATGGCTCGAAAACCAGCACGGATGTAAGACGTGGACTCATGTCAGGGAGCAGGCGAAGATGTTTTACCTTATCTTAACATTGTTCCATGTGTACCGCAGAGTTGTTCGCCATCCGTTAGGCTCCACGTTTAGTGCATCACTGTGACGAACCCATGTACATCATATTGTGACACTTTTAAGCTCTCTGGTGACCCTGCAGCAAGCAAGTCAGCAGCACAAAATCGCTGAAGAAATAATGCACGCATTGCTTGCCTGGGAGCAGGATAACAAGCGTGTCGTTTTCGCCTGGATGCCCGGTCACGCCCAGGTATCCGGACACGAACAGGCTGAATCCCCAGTCAGACAAGGCGCCAGCGGCCCTCGTTTGGCCTGGAAGAAGACACCAGTATCAGATCTCAGGGACGTACTATACAGTGATCTAAAAACACGATGACAACGAATTTTGAGTGAAGTAGGAACAGATAATACTTGGACGCCTGAGCAAGCTCCGAGCCATTAAAGCGCAGGCTGGCGAATGGAAATCATCTTACTTTAAAAACAGAACCGACGAAGCAAACTGTGTCGGTTGTGTATAAGCCACATGTGAGAGACGCATTCTTACCTGCTCTCCGGGAAAGCTAGGCCCCTTTGCAGCAGACGGGGAGCACCTTTGTCCATGGCCCACGCACTAGCTGAGTGTGGGAACTACGAGATTGAGCGAAACCGGTATCTTAATCTGAATCACATTCTCCTGGTGATCCGCCGCTGATCGATCTTCGAGCAGTTTTTGACTTTTTCAGAGACATTTACTTCAAGCTTTTATACCCACCGACCTAGACAATTGGCAGGTGGGCCACATAGCCTTTTTACGTTTTGTCTTGCTCGCTTTACGGTTCCGGTACACAGCTGACGAGCTTTCTGAGTGACAAAGACATTGATGACAATCTACTGACAGTTCTGATTGAAGTTCTGTTGACATAGGTTCTTAAGAATGGGACACGGGCGCAAATAACCAGTGCAGTTGACGTGCCTTTTAAGCTCAATAATTGGCTAACTCATCTATCAAATCTGTACTGCGATTTGGAGGTTGTTGGCCATCGTAAGGCTCATGCCGGTTATTCTGTGCTATTTATGGTGATTTGCTGTAGTTTGGCGTGCATGTGAAGCGTGCACCGCAGTACCAGGTAGTGTCGATGTTTCATGGTATCATTTTGTAAGGCAAGCCATTAGTTTTTTTTTATTGTTAAAAGCTTTCCCATGTTGTATATGTATTTGCCCTGTTCGATTTGACTGTGCCCAGGACGGCAGTTTTGTTGCGGCGTTATCTAACACTTGTTGCTGGTCGACACTAGCAATCGTGATCTGTTGTAGACGATTACTAACCGAGCCTTTTCCTCTGTTGCAGGTTTTATTTTTGTCCAGAGTTGGCAGCTGATGTGATAAACGCATACTCAAGGAGTGCCCATGTTCTGGTGTCATTCTCCATAGGTAATTTTCCCTGCAGTGCGTGGTGTCCTGGTGGGTCGACTCGAATATGTCCATCGCTCAAGCATGTGTTTCCGTTTCTAATGCCTATTTTTAGCTCGAGAGCTCAGCTAATGGTAAGGTGCGCTATTAATATGACGTGTTAAAAGTCAGAACTACATATGGGCGTGGTGTTCTGTCCCCGACGTGGCGTGTTATTAGGCACACGTGCATCAATTGATGTCTTCCAACGCCCATATGCCACGCCCCGAGGTATACAAATCATACCAGAATTATATGAACATCCCCTTAAATATAAAGGGGACATAATATGTCGAACGAAATGTGTTCACTTCTTGACGCCATGGAAAGCATTCTACGTTGTTTTCTCTCACTCAAGTGGGCTTTCGTTTTCTTCCAGGTTATTTCATTCACGACGCCCTCGACATGGCAGTGAACAACATGAAGAAGAGCACCTATGAGCTCCTGGTCCACCACTTCTTTGTAAGCACTTCATGGCATTTCCATACCATTAGTTGTTGGCCAGAAACACTTGGACATCACGATCTAAAGCATGTGAGCAGGGACATTTACGGCGTTCTATGTTAATGGCTGTTTTCGACGTCGATATGACAGATGTGAAATGAAGCATGCGCCCGTGTTTCGAATTACCGCCCGTATAAGCCTACTCCGAAGTCAAGGCAGTCACACGAATTTGAAGCCAAATTCGGTGGCTTCGTAATTTGCACACGCAAAGCAGGAGCCGAAGTCAGCCAACGCCAAACCGTCTGTTCAAAATCACGAGGACAAAGACGAAGCCGAATCCAGTGCACAATGGTTTGTCAAAATAATACGGTTTTTGCGTCTGCTAAAAATGATTGAGATGAGATAGTTTCGAGATCAGAAAATGTTTGCCCCGCGGAGGCACCGGTTTCGCCCGGTGTTCACAAAAAACGCGTCGGTGTTCACATCTGAGCTGATAGCAATTACTAAGGCACTATGTTTCATTGAAGTCGGTGATGAACCTTTGCATCTCATCTTGACGGACTTGCTTAGCAGTGTTCGTAGTGTGAAGTCTTTTTATCCATAATGTCCCCTTCCTTTTATATCCCATGTCCTAGGACCTTTTAATTCGTTTGACTCAACTGGATCAAGCCGGAAAAAAGTCGTGTTATGTTGGATCCCTAGTCACGTTGGAATCACGGTTAACGAGTTGGCTGACGCGGCTACCAGGCGAGCAGCGCTAGGTTCGTGTGTTCGCTCTCCTATCCCTGCCAGAGACTTTTACCATGCAATGCAAAGTTTCCTACACAGCAAGTGGCAGCGTTGTTGGGATGGGATGGATGATAATAACCTTAGAGCGATCAAACCTAAGCTGGGTCAGTGGCTCTCTTATTTCCGCAAAGTGAGGCGAGAAGAGGTGATCCTCTGCAGACTACGTATCGGGCACACGTACGCAACCCACGGCTGTATGTTGGAGGGAGCTGATAAACCTATCTGTGATCGATGTGGCGCTGTCGTTACCGCCCGCCATGTCCTTATATTTTGTCCGCGCTTCGTGGAAGAACGTCAACGTTACTGACAGCATGACTCGCCGCTTAACCTCTGTGATATACGAGCAGACAACTCACAGTTTCTTGAATATCAACAGGTCTTTTTGTTTCTCAAACACATCGACTTTGGTACGCGGCTCATTATGTAGGTAAAACAAAACTCGTTATGGGCGCCAAATGACTACCGCAGTCGACGCGCCCGTAAACTCCATTAAACAGCAACAACAAAATCAAATTTTTGGGTGCGAGAAAATGAAACGAGGTGTTAGGTGAACCATTATTCGGACAATCATACTCGTCTTGTGTAATAACATGTGCACAACGTTTCAAACAATTCTCTGCTGGCCGTCAGGTGTTGATTGGTGTGAGAATTGCGGACTTCTTTGAGGCCGTCAGTCAGGTATGCGTCACAGCCTGGAAGAGTAGTGTGGTGGCTTAAAGTGGCATAATAAGCAATACGTGGTGAAGAGTGTTACAATTGTGGTGAAAAGCTGCCGTAAGTCAGAAGCTCAAATATGGAAAATGTCGCATGGGCAAGCTGGCAAGCATTTCGCGCTTCGGACTATCGGTTTTGCTGTCGGGCGTGCAGGCACCGTGGATAAGACATAATGACCCGTAAAAAGCCGGTGTTAACAAGCGCCCGGGTGACCGGTTGGATACCCTCCGCTCGGGTGGGGGGGTCACATTGACTCCCCTGAGATGTCGGGAACTGAGAGAGCTAGAGACACCAAATTCACAGGGCCTGTGTTGGCCTGTACGTGGACTCTCTTAGGTCAAAGTTTGAGGTTACTAGGTCATGACCTTCAGGTCAAATAAGGTCAAGCAAGGTCAAATTCCAGCTTGGTCTCTAGAGGGCTCCTAGAACCTAGGCAACTGGCCTAAGAAAAATGTCACGCGCGCAGTTAAGGTCAGTGACCTTGTTTGACCTTTTAAAGGTCATTATTACCAAAATGATGTAAGACTGCTTTGAATTTTGCATTTGGATAAGCGACAAAGATCACGCTAGGCAGTATGTTCCTAAAAACAAGATGTTGACCTGGGTTATTTTAGGTCAGCGACCTATTTTAACCCATAAGAAGTCTATGAAAGGTGTATAATGCGGTTCCTGCTATCAATAAATTTGAAATGAGCACCAGAAATCAGCCCATACAGCAAACCCTATAGTAATACAACAGGACGTCCGTCAAGTTGGCACCATTCACATTCAGATTCAGGTCCATATTCGGGATTCAGCGGACTCCTCAAATTGCCCTGAAACTTTGCACACAGACGCAGTTTAACCTCCTGAACACAGTGAGAACAAAATCTCGGACCGGTGCGACCAAATACCAGAGATACACCAATATCAAAGATTGAGTCAAGCATGAAGAAAATGTGTTCCATGCCTGATATACGCCATACCTAAGCAGCTTCGGCATTTGAAAAGCTATAGTTTTTTTGATACAGCGTACTGGTCCAACATTTTGTGTTCATCGTAATCAGAGGGCTAATATGTACCAACACACGGATTTCGGAAAGGAATGAAGGAGTCCCCATTTCGGAAGGAGTCCCCATTTTTTATTGTGATCTTTCATATTGTGATATATCCGGTAATAGGGTGTACCGGTCCGAGATTTTGTGCTCATTGTGCTCAGGAGATCCAACTGCATCTGTGTGCAAAGTTTCAGGCCAACTTGAGGAGTCCGCTGAATTTCTAATATGAAACTGAGTTAGGCATGATAAAATGAAATACCTGCTGCATTCGCGACCGTGACATTATAACAGCTATAACTTTTTTGATGCAGCGTACCGGTCCAAAATTTTGTATTTATCGCAATCAGAAGGTTAATATCTACCAGCACGCGGAGTTTAGAAAGAATTAAAGGAGTCCGCCTTTTTTATTGTGATCTTTTGATATTTATATATATCCGGCAATAGCGCGTACCGGTCCAAGATTTTGTGCTCATTGCGTTCAGGAGGTTAAACTGCAGCTGTGTGCAAAGTTTCAGGGCAATTTGAGGAGTCCGCTGAATCCCGAATATGGACCTGAATCTGAATGTGAATGTGGTGCCAACTTGACGGACGTTACAACAGGTTTGTTTTGACCTTGGTCCGACCTTCATACCTGACCCTAGGTCAATGCTACTTGTTTATTCAATTATTGCGTTGCCTAAGAAAGTAGCTCAGAGATATGTGGCTTCGTCTAGCACTCCGTTGTTTGATCGGATTTAACGATTCCCTAGAACGTGCCTTTGCTGAAACCATGGTCTGACGGACCTGCCATGGGTTAGCGACCTTGACGATCCGCTATTTCGTTGTTTACAACTGTGCAAAATTTGAAGCGGCTTCGCCACATCGTTCGGAGACCATTCCGGGAAACCTTTGAGATGTCAGTTTGACCCCCGCCACCCGAGCGCGTGTTAAAGATTCCGTTATATATGGTTTGCGAAATTATCAGCGTTATGTGTTCGTCTTGCGGACGCTGCGCATATCATCTTTAATGTCATTCGGATGAGGAACACAATTCGTGTGAGAGAGAGAGAGAGAGAGAGAGAGAGAGAGAGAGAGAGAGAGAGAGAGAGAGAGAGAGAGAGAGAGAGAGAGAGAGAGAGAGAGAGAGAGAGAGAGAGAGAGAGGAGAGAGAGAGGGAGAGGGAGAGGGAGAGGGAGAGGGAGAGGGAGAGGGAGAGGGAGAGGGAGAGAGAGGGAGAGGGAGAGAGGAGAGGGAGAGGGAGAGGGAGAGGGAGAGGGAGAGGGAGAGGGAGAGAGAGGAGAGGAGAGGAGAGGGAGAGGGAGAGGGAGAGGGAGAGGGAGAGGGAGAGGGAGCGGGAGAGGGAGAGGGAGAGGGAGAGGGAGAGGGAGAGGGAGAGGGAGAGGGAGAGGGAGAGGGAGAGGGAGAGGGAGAGGGAGAGGGAGAGGGAGAGGGAGAGGGAGAGGGAGAGGGAGAGGGAGAGGGAGAGGGAGAGGGAGAGGGAGAGGGAGAGGGAGAGGGAGAGAGAGAGAGAGAGAATGATTCGTCAGTTCAGTTCGAGTCACAAATATCATTTAGAGCACTCATGATGCTATGGGATGGGTTATAGACCGTCAGTGCTAGTCGCGCAGTGTCGCCTGTCACGGTCGCTTGAAAAGGCTATCTCTCGGTTACCTTTACCCT